GTAGTGTCTTATTTTTCTATTTAGGTTTATATGAAGTTACTGTACAGCTTGCTTTATTACGCACAACAATTAACGACATAATACAAAACTCATTTCTTGAATACCCATATGTTTTCCAAGTGTTTCTGAAGCACTCCAGTGCCAAGCGGAGCGTAATCCTCCATACAGAACACTACCGCCACCTTTATCCAACCGCTGTCACCTACAAGCAGCCAACAGTATTTGCACTCACACCTACGGAGGTCACAGCACCACAGTCGATCTTGGTTTGAGACGACAATTCAAGTGGATTTGCATTATCGCTTATACCCATACTTCCATCATTTCTATTGACCATTTGTCTTCCTTTGGTCTCGTTGTTGATGTCAAGCAGCAAAAGCTACTCGACACCGCCACTTCCTTATCTGCCAGTGTTCATGTCACGTGCATTTGTTCCATGGGACACCGTCTGGCCGAACCCGTGTCATCCACTTTTCCGATGTTCTTCGTGAATTTCCAGAGGTGACGTAGCTCTCATACAAACATGCGAGTGCTACTCATGAGGCGACTCACAGCATCATCACCAAAGGTCAACCCATCACCACCAAACCTCGCCGACTCACACCTGTGAAATTGACTATGGCGCGTGCAGGGTTCGACACATGGTCTAGCTTGGTATCATTCAGCCCTTCAAATCCCCTTGATCTTACCCACTGCATATGGTATCCCAGAAGACCCCTGGAGATTGGCCTCTTTGTGGCGACTAAAGAGCACTCAACAAATCCTCCGCACCCGACAGATATCCCATTCCACACATACATGACTTCGCAATCACCCTTCACTCAAAAACAGATTTTTCCACAATCGAACTTGTGCGTGGACATTGTCACATCCCAGTGGCGGAAGCAGACATTCCCTAAACAGCATCCACAACCCCGATTCGATATGTTTGAGTTTTTACGAATGCCTTTTGGTTTAAGTAATGCTGCACAGACATTTCAGCTTGAGGTATAGAATTGGTTTTCGTTTGCTTGAACGACAGCTTAATAGTCAGCATTCAACCCGAAGAACACAGCTTCTACTTACGCATTCTCTTTTGACGTTTTAATCATTATCGTTCACTTCAAACCCATCTAAAGTTATTTTCGGTATCTCATTCTTAGAATTTCTAGGCCATGGAATTAATTCCTGAGACATTCTCCTACTGTCTTACTAGGGTAAAACCATTTAAGACATCCTCCGTCCAACTTCTGTTCAAATGCTTAGATACTTTCTGGATTTGATTATCGTCGTTTTACCCTCAATTGTTCCGCTATCCTTAGTCGCCTCATTCATTTGCTCAGCGGTAACGTTAAAGGCGTTATCTACACTCCTTTGACACCGTTATCTCAGCCCTCCAAGTGGCCACCATGTTGTCCTACCTTAACTCATCTCCATTCAAGCATTTAGTGCAAAACCCAAGCCATCCGTGTCGCACGCTGCTAAAGTTATTGCCCAACATTCATCTTAGAGGATATCCGTTCAACCTAGTGGTCTCAAAATGCCGGTGTCAGTCAGTCGCAGCAGTGTGTTCGACCTGGAACTCTCTTCCACCCACGTCGTCTGTGCACCAAGCATTGAATCTTTCTAACTGAGACTTGATGAAGCATTAGTACACCTTACATTCCAACATAAGTGAAGTTGCGTGCAGCAGTGGAAGAAGCACGTATCATGTGACATTTTACATAAGGAATTCTATGTATCACTGTCTTTTAACCAAAATACGAACCTATGGGACGAGAAAAGCATGAGCTTGTAAGTTATTCCCGTAAAACACTTCGAAACTTCCGAGACATGCGCAAGTCCCCTTCACTAGGTTGCACACAATTCCCCTATACCACATTTTGTGATCCTTCTTCCAGACACCCTCGACCCATTTTACCAGTTAGTATGTGTCAACCCATTTTTACTCATTTGCATTCATTTTCGCATCAGTATCATTTACGTCCGATTGCTGACGGTTACATTTGGCCCAGTGTGAACAAAGACGTCCGACATTGTGTCAAATCCTGCTTATAGTGTCAGCACAATAGGATTGACTGTTATATTGTTTCCTCCCCAGGTCGATTTCCCATTCCAGACACTTGTTTTTCTGATGTTCATATTAACCTTGTTAGCTCACTTCAAATGGTAAAACATACCTGTCAACATGTGTCCACCGTTTCACACGTTGATCGGTGTCCGTCCCCCTAAGAGACATCTCCTCTGAGTCCGTCGCACATTTCCCGTCCCACTGGATTTCCCTTCAAGATTGTCCCCACACTGTGACCACTGACAGAGACGCGAAATTCCAATCTGCGCTCTTTCGGGATTGTACTTGGTTGCGAACAAAATCGCGTCACCGTTCACCAACCTGTAGCAAACACAGTGAAGGCTTTCATCGACAACTCACTTTGTGCCCACGAAGATCCTCGCTGGACCGAACGTCTTCCACTTACTCTCAGTCATCAAACATGACCTCGGATGTGCGGTGGCTGATTTGGTTTACGGAACTACCCTTCGTCTACCAGGTGATCTGCTTCAAGTCCTCTTTCTCCGTCGATGTCTGCCGAACAATTGGGGGACCATATGACCCATAAGAAATTCACTCCAACATGCCATCACATGTGGATTGCAAAAGGGTCTAATGATTCACGCATATGTAGCCACGTTTTCATTCGTGGCAACACTCCGTGCCGATCACTTCAAGCACCATACGGAGTAAATTCTTGTACCGAGAAGTTTGTTTTAGATCACAAGGTAATGCACGACTCGGTAAGCATAGGTCGTTCAAAACCAGCATATCTCGACTCATAATTCGATTAACCCACCCCACAAACTCCACATGTTGTTCCTTCACCCGTTATCCCAAACGTTTCGCCTAATAGACAGCTCTCCCGTCTTCTACACACGCATTTACACCACCGGATACTCCACGTACAACACATCATGGTAGAAAAGTGCGTTTCCTTGGTCGTTTTCTTTCACTGCTCGCCTTTACCCTTGATTAATCGAGCATTCAGTGTGCACTTTCATTCTAGATGGGGTACTGTAGTGTCTTACTTTTCTATTTACGCTTACAGATTGTTTTAGTACGCACAATAATTAACAACACAATGCAAAAATCTGTTCATCGCTACGCACGTGTTCTCCGAGTATTGGTGAAGCACGGCGCGCACATCATCAGACAGTCCGTTAACTGTTGTAGCAACCCCTCTCAGCTCAACAGCGAATGATAAACCGGAGTCACACTTCTGGGGAACAGAATCCCACAACTGACCGGGCAATCTTCCTGTCAGTCCGTTTCATTTTGCTATTTTTTGTATATCTAGTACCTTTTGCACTATGCGTGCATCGCCATCCCCGGAAATTCAGGAATCTCTCACATTCTGTTCGCTGAGAGTTGATGCTCAGTTTCGACGCAGCGCGTGCGTACAGAAAGGGAATACTGATGAAGACAACAACAACCAGTTAAATTAGGAGATTAGGTTTTTGTTTGAATATTGACTGAAAAGCGCACGCGCGAGGATCAAAAACGTACTAAGAGTTTGATAGAAAAACAAAAACCAACTCGACCAAACAGAGAAAAGAAGTGCACCAAATGAAGACAGGAAGGGGAGGGAATAAAGTGTAATAACAACAGTAGTAATGGAAATAGTATAATTATTAGTAGTAGTACTAGTAAGTGCCACCATACCCGTACAAATGTATTAACCCCGTGCGAACTAAGGCGTGAAGCGAAAAGAATAGATCGATCGGACTGCACTTAACAGATATTGTCTACAATGGAATGAATTTGACAATCAAAGGGATTGAAAAAAGGAAAACCAATTACAAGGGAAGAGTCGGACGAGGACGTAATGAGAGAGAAAGAAAAGCG